GGTTGTAAAAATTTTTGTGTAATTAGACTCAAGTCGATTAGAAAGTGAACCCAGTGTAGTGCCTAACAATTGTTCTACCCCGTCCTCAAACTACACTCCCATTCCTATTACCTCGCAGCAAACATGCATCATGTGTGGTCATGGTCACCCTTCCAACAAACCTCTTGCACCACAGCACACAGCTCTGCACATAATCAATCAGAGTGCGTCATACTATAATGCAGTTCTACACAGCTACACTGCTGCTTGACAACGGGATGAGGCCCACCAGTCAAATGAAGTGAGCAGCACACAAATGCCGGTCCTAACAGAGAGTGAGGCAAAGTGATCCTGGTCCGGTGGTGCGTTACGCTCATGATGGAGAATGTGAAGGCTAACGCCGTGTTTCCCCCGCAATACACAAATCAACTCAACGAAATGAGTAGATGACGCACAAGTGACCGATGTAGACGCACAAAAACGATTAGTTCGGAATGCTTAGGGGGAAGATTAAGTCTATAAGTCAGCCCTAGCTGTTAAGAAAAATGCAATAATCGTACTTTACTACTGATTTCTCTTTGTTTCGCTGTACACTAAACCTGCGTTTTCCTCTCTCCCCAGCTACCTACCCGCCTGCCTGCTGCCTACCTGTGTTTTATCAGGAATTCTGCATTGGGCGCACTACTTCTCCAACTCTTGCTGCATAAATGGAACTGCCACCTTGTATCCTAATGTAAGTTACCCTTCCTTATCCCCCTCCAGCCCTGCCAATTTACGCAATTGCGCGTTACTCCCGGCGATTGACCACCAACTTCTCGTTTCAGCAACTTCACCTATTCAACCTCTTTCCTGCGAGAATCCCCCCGTTCTCGTTTCTCCTACCACCACCTCATTTACTACTACCTGTGCAGTTGGCTAACATTCGCAATTTCTCCCCCAGTTGTCCACCTCCGCCTCCACCACCACCACATCGCTGTCAAGACATCAACTTTTCGCTTTTCGCCTTGTCACGACATTCCTCCCCTAATGCCACTTACCACATGTTAGTACTGTTAATACTGCAAGGAAGGACTTGGCGTGTCGTCCAATTACTCTTCTACTTCACGTCTCAAGTGGGACGCACATGTCTTTAGTTATTCCCAGCCTTCAGCCAGTTCTTCTCCTCTTCTGCCGATTCGTCATCACCTTGGTCCTCCTTACCACTACTATTTATTGTTGACATGTTGACATGACATTTCATCCGATGTGGTCTCTTAACGCAACGACAATGTTGGAAGAGGAGAGCAGGCGTTGGGGAGTGGTGATTAGTTGTTGTCAAAGAGCAAGTTTTCATCTCTCTTTCACCCATCCGCTTCTGTAACATCAATTCATCTTTTTCTATTTCATTTTAGCGTTCCTCAATTACTTCAACCCTTTCATGCAAGCCTATCTACTGATTTGCGCATTTTTTTCTCTAAGAGATGATTCCCCGTCTGCCATGCGTCTGTCTTTGATTTATTTACCCACACTGCAAATTCGTCACTTGTGGATTTGTTTGTTATTCAAACTTCCAATCATCATCAATGCCTAACCCCATTATTTGTCTGCTTGACCTCTCTGCTTCCGATTCACTTAATCGCCCCCAAACTACCTTACATTTAATTTATTTTTTGCTTATTTAGCTACGTCTGCCTATACCCTTATTTTAGATCTCGGCATGAGGGACTTTCTCACTACCTCTCTCCATCTCAACGCAAGTGTCACCTTACGTCGTCATCATCTCATTGTCCCACGTGCGCACTATCGGTCGAAGCGACCCTT